CCTGCAGATTCCACTGAGGATATTGTACCCCATTGTCAAGCAAATGTGTATATGGTGTCCTCAATCTAGCTGTAAAGGGCAGTATTGAAACGCATAGCTCAAATCTCTCTGACAGCATAACAAACACACTTCACAGCCATTCCCTGAACTTGAGAGAAAGGCCGTTTGCAGAACTCCGAGCAGAATTTTTTTTCTGATGATCAAGAGAGTTCATCTTTCCATCCTAGCAGTAGAGTGCTTGTGGTGTGGTCTGCCACTGTTGAGCGATCTTGAGGTCCACACTCAAGCTGCTGGTAGTAGGCTAGCATTGGCCTGTTCCTTGTATACTAATATAAGGACATCAACCCCAAAAAAGTAACTGTCTGGTTAAAGAAACAAAGAAGACAGATAAAAAATACAGAAACAAAATGATAGCCAATTATTGAAAAAAATGTAAAAGGACACCCTAATTCCGTAATAGAAGACTGAAGCGTCATTGAAGGGACTCCAATGGGAGGGAGAATTTCTATGCAAGCTTAAAACAGCATTTGAAATGCTAGACATGATCCACGCAATGACATAAATCGGTGTGGATAAAATCCTGAGAGTAGAAAAAAGAAGACAAAACATGTCTTATGCTGAATATTCATAAACAAGCAGTTGCGAACATCACCAGTTTGCACTCTGCAGTGTCAATCTAGAGATCCTATCTTCAGGTAGTGATGCTCGATACTCTGGATGGAATAACAAACTTCTTCACACTTAAACCAGTTAATTTCTAGAAAATTTGGATTAGCCAACAAATGAACTGCTAACACAAATGGCCACTAGAATACAAGAGATTCACAGGTGCAATAGCGCACACTGATTTGAATGGTACGACACAATACAACAACAACCAACACTATACCAAAGCCCAAACAACTTCAGGCCTGTACTGCTTTGGAGGGTGGGTACGAACACCTGATTCAGTAATTTTGCCTGCGTAATCTAATAATATTAAGCAACTGTAAATACGATTAGAAGCGATAACCCTTTACCGTCGAGCTAACGGCGCTAGAGATTCGGGAGAACCATTCGATCTAGGGCAGATTAGGGGCGGGAAATACCGGAAGGCTCAGACGGTCGGTGGATTCCGGCGGACACGGAGAGAACTAGACCACCGCGGCAGACAGATTCCGGCGCGTCCACCAGGAATTCGATCCGAGAACTCCAGGCGTTTCCTCCGCTTCAATCCCAGGCTCCCAGCGCTCGAGCTGATGGTGGATTTGAGAGCCCAGCGTGGTGGCGCTGGCGTGGTTCTCTCTCTCCGGTACTGGGTTGGTTCGTGAAAATCTCCCCAAAACCGCGCTTGGTTTTGCCGGTTTCAACTGGTGGGCCGGTGGGAAACTCGCTACTGGGCCTTTGTGCCATGCCGCGGCCTAGCGGGTGACGCTGTGGCCCGAGTTCGACAGCAGCCGAGTGAGCATGCGCAGGCCGCGGGAATCAGAGGATCGGATAGTTACAGAGTACCCTCGCCACACGGCAGCAGTCAAAAGAGATGAGAAGAGGGCGGCGTCAGGGTATGTGCAAACCATGCCCTGCCCTCAAATTAGAATTGCGAACCGGGGCTGTTTGGTTTTACGGTGGCTTTAAAATTTCGGTCACATCGAATGTTTAACATATATAGAGTATTAAATATAGACTAATTATGAAACTAATTATACAACTTGTGACTAATTTAAGAGACGAATCTTTTAAGCATAATTAGTTCATGATTTGACAACGTGGTGCTACAGTAAACACGTGCTAATAACCGATTAATTAGGCTTAAAAATCGTCTCGCAAATTAGCCTCCATCTATGTAATTGATTTTGTAATTAATCTATATTTAATGCTCCTTATTAGCATCTAAACATTTGATGTGACATGAATTTTAGGAGCGACTAAAGAACCAAACACACCCGAAGTCTACTCGTATCCACCTCAATAATCCATGTTCGTTAGAGTGAATTGAGGAAAAAAAAATAGTTTAAGTTCTACCTCAATCCACTCCAACGTATATGAATTGAGGTGCATACGAATATATCCAAACAATGCCTTATTTAAAATCAGATCTAAACCATTGCACACAATGACACAAAGGAGCTACCAAAATAATATATTAGACACCAGAGCAAGTCCAAGTATCAGCTCCATGGGAACATACAAAGGCAAGAGTGTGCGTGCGGTGTGTTTATATGGAATGAGCACTTGCGTTTCTAGCGTGATTCGAAAAAAAAAATGGCATGACCCACTCGATCCGGCACTAGCTGTAACGCCACTACGGCAGCAGTGGTCACAAACTCGTAATGCACACTTGATCATGCCTTCTGCTGCTGAGGCTTTGCATTGTGGCTTATGCCTTATGGGTTGCTTCTCTTCCATGTATTTTGTCTTTCTTTTATGGCTTCGAGCGAGTATAATTGTTATCCTAAATGCTAGACGGAAAACAGTTGGTCATCATTTGTTTAGCGTTTAGACCATTTAGACGGTGTTTAAACGGAATTAAACGGTCTAAACAGTTTGGTACAGTAACACTGAAATATACATATTTATGTACGTAAAAATCAAATTTGCTTTAAAGTATACATATTTCTGCATGTAAAAATGAGTTATCTTTCAAATATTTTTTCAAAAAAAACTAAATCCCACTTCACCATATATATACTTACATTGTTAATTAGTTGAATGCCGAATGTGGTAGTTGTAATTCTCTTATTGATTAAATAAGTAAATATAGTTAATTAAATGACCGTTTAGCTCATTTAATCATGTTTGACGTGATTATGGGGGTGTTTGGATCCACTCTTTGTCACATCGGATGTTCGGATGCTAATTAGGAGGATTAAACATAAGTTAATTATAAAACTAATTGCACAGATGGAGACTAATTTGCGAGACGAATCTATTAAGCCTAATTAATCCATCATTACCATATGTTTACGGTAGCACCACATTGTCAAATCATAGACTAATTAGGCTTAATAGATTCGTCTCGCTAATTAGTCTACATCTATGCAATTAGTTTTGTAATTAGTCTATGTATAATACTCCAAATTAGTGTCAAACATCCGATGTGGTAGTCCTTGGAACCAAACCCGCACCGCTTAGAAGGCTTTTAACGGTTTAAGCGGTCTAATCGTTTAATTCACCGTTTAGGGCCTAAACGACATGCTATTTAAACGTTGTTTAAACGGACTAAACGATCATTTAGGCGAACTGATTAATAAGGGATTATAGGTGGGCTTTATGATGAGGTTGGGGTAGAGAAGAATATTGTAGTGGAGAAGAGAGAAGACAAGTGGAATATAAGTTTACAACCTGTTAATGTAGGAGCTCAAAAAACTTTGCGACAGAAGAAAGTAAGCCACGTATTAATGATGAAAAATGTTCTAATAGCCAAATACTACATGAATAAACTATAGATATAGCTACAACCAGCAGTGAACCGTATTTTTAGTCATTCTCTCATAAGGTTGAAAAGGTTGTTTCTATAGTACTAGTAGTGGCTTACCCATCTGTTGTTTTCTGTTAGCTGATGTCTTTATTTGAGATGCATGTTAGCAAAGGTGGCTTAGGCACTTTTGGCAACAAAAGACGGCGACACGTGCTCGGCCACTACGAAATTGTACATGTTGATTTTTGTTCTTGGATAAATGACTCCCGCTGACCAGATCGATCCAACGACCATACACCTGATTTGGTTCGGCCCGCCGGCAGAGGGGAAAAGGGAACAAAGTGACAGTAGGCGAGCGAATGCATCGGACTTTCGGTTGAAGATCATTCGATTTGCATGTCTGTGACGCTGAATCGAGCCATTTTCGCTCAGTTGCTCCTGATTCGTAGAATCACGGCTGGTTCTAGCCATTCACATCCCGGTAGAAAACAAACTAGTCAAAAAGAGCAGACATCACCAACCGCAACCGGCAAACAGAGGGTGAGTTGGTGAAGAACAGGAGATTTCTATCCTCCTGCCACTGCCTGCCTACAGGTCAAAAGAGCACATGTAGCAGTACCAAGCAAAATCTGCAGATGGACTAATCTTTCTGGCGTGCAGTAGAATACTAAAGAAATCGCTGTGACTATTCGCCCAACGTTCAAACCATTTAACAGAAATTGATAGAACCATAGTCCATAATAAGACCATAAACAATCAGTTGGACTAATAACGATACAACAAATCTGCACGTGGACTAATAACGATACAACAAATCTGCACTACCTACCGTTACGTTACAACATCGTAAACTACACAACATGAAACCAACAAAATACTAACATGTGCCGGAAAAAAAAAATCAAGAAAGCTGCAGAAAAGGACGCTCGCCAAAAGGCCGACTAGCAATTGAGGAGCTACAGGCAGAGACGCATGCGGACCTGTTTGCTTGAATCTATCAGGAGTACTTTTTCAGCGGAGGAACAATATTTTTCGCTCACAACGAATCAGCATCAGCCAAATTTCAACGAGCCGAACAGGGCCGCAATCAGGCTGGGGTCAGTCAACAATTGCAACGACAGATTAAACAAACTTTCCACAGACAGGAATTCAACATCTTAACTAATGCCACAGATATCATGAACAGTTTCCTTGTACCCGCTGCAACATGCCTCATGAGATCATCATGCGGATACAGACATTCGATAGCACAAATGCTTGCCGACAAGCAACAACACAAGGCACCCAACACTTGGCACCAAAGAAAACAGCAGAGATACTTGGCGTACGGGCAGGGTGAACAGAAACTGGGAAACGAGTTTATTGCATTATGAGGTTACAAGGCCCACTCAGCACGCTGCTTCCACCCAATTAGAGCACAAAAAGGTATCTACAACCTGATCCTATTTACAATTCATCCTGCTCTGCTTAGTTATAATTACTCGAGACCCAAGGGCACAACATAAGGCCACTTGTCTTACAATACAGAACATAGCTAGAATCACTAGGCTAACAAAGGAACAAATAAATCCAAGAAAAGGAAATAAAAGAACAATATGGACAATCAAAAGCCTTCAACGCTAGACCTACGCCTAATAGGAGGTGTTTTCTTTATAGAGCTTACACCGGGATCATCCAGAGTAGAAGAGCATGTCCTTGGATGAAACAAGGCAGATGTCGATGACCTTGGTGAAATCAAGTGTTGGTTATGTGAAGGCGGCGATGGAGAGAAGGTTATGACAGGATGATGAGGCACAATTCCATTGAGGGATGTAGATTTTAACATTATTTTTCTTGGTGCAGCAGAAGGTTCTTGCAGAGGATATCTGCACGGAACCTTTATTTCCTGGACTCTTGCTAGGGCCTCCACAACATCCCTCATGGTCGGCCTCTCTGATGGATCTTTATGCAAGCATTTCAGAATGATGTCTGCTACTATCCGAGCAGCCTTAGTGGGAAAGCGCCCTTTTATACGGGAGTCCATGATCAGAGATAGGCGACTATCATCAGTAAGGAAAGGTCTACTCCACCTGACAATATTGCGTTCTTCTTTGGAATAATTGGCATCAAGGTTCTTCCTTCCAGTTATTAGCTCCAGTAACACAACTCCAAAGCTCCAGACGTTGCTCTTGGGAGTGAGTAAACCCTTCTCCAAGGTCTCCACTGAAAGGTTTGCTGCAGACTGAAGAAAACAGATCTCTAGTGAACAATACGATATCGGTCAATTAACAGGTTTATATCACAATATTATACATATATTCTTGTTAACTGAACCCACTGTTACTTATAACAAAATAAAATATGTACCCATGCAAACTTATAGTGTTGAGGATACTATTGGAAGTTTGGAACCAATGGAAGGGAATGAGACATAAGTTGTGCTGCCACTCAAGGGACAACATAAAATTCTAAATTATACTCATAGTCATACAAGAACATACCGCAGGTGTATTAGATATCTTATCAGTATTGAAGCCAACACAACCATATCCTGAAAGCTTAGCAGTGAAATCTTTATCTATTTGGATGTTCAAAGTTGAGAACCCGCTGTACATGGCCTGAAAACAAATGGAAATACAAGTTAAAGTCAGCGGCTCAGTGCTGTAAGATAATGTGGTTGAAAGCCAAGTAAAAAATTAAAAGCACAACTTTTGCATAATGTCATAAGACGACAAATCAAGTAGCATGCTCACCTGAAAGGGTCCTTCATCATGCAAGAAAGCAAGACCTCTGGCCGCGCCAAGGGCAACCTTCAAACGTTTAGACCAGTCCATGAAACGACCATCTGGTCTTCCAAAGAGTAGCTTATCTAAGCTCCCATGATGAAGCCGTTCATAGACCAACATCCTTTCATTAGAATCTTCTTTTGCAAAATAGCCAATCAGTTTACATAAATTGGGATGCTGAAGCGATGCCAATGTGGTCGCTTGTGTTTTAAACTCCTTCAAACTCTGCAGGTGATAAACAATATATCAATATCAATATGTTACATCAGCAGAATAATGAGCTAGATAGTAAATATACAACTTAATAAACTCGACTGATACGTCAGTGGATCAGCCTATTGTAACACATAATAATGTCCAATTGATCATTAAAATTTTTAAGCTGCAACAACCATTTCAAGCTAGCAGCTGCATTTACTCCAAGATACTTCCCCCGAGTGGGTATTAGACCAAACACCAAAGTTCTCTACATCAAGGAAGGCCACACATTTAAAACTACATGCAATAGAAGGCAAGAAATCTCAAAAACCAAAATAAACATTTGACAGGGCTTGGCGCAACATAAGAACTGACTGGAGACAAAACAAAGAACAAATGAGAAAGAGTACAGAAAGCATCTTGCAGTAAATAGTAAAGGCAAGATCAACTACAAGGTTGCTTCAGAAACGTGTTACCTAACACCACACCTGCTGTGGTCCTAATTAGCATTCAAACAAATGGAATGGCATATTAATTATAGGGCCAGCCTAGCATATGTCAGTAGAGTAGGCATTTGAGCACATGCCCACAAAATGAGTCTGATCCTCTAGCCTGAACTCAGATCCTTAACAGAATAATTAATGATGCAAAATTACTGAATGGTATGTCCTTGAAGTATCAAACTATGTCATAAAAACACCAGACACCTCTATCGGCAAGCTGAGCAACCTAGAAAGTTGGGGGTGCAAGATCATGGCTTAAATTGGCCTTAAAAGCAATTTGCAGATCAATGGCTGAGAAAGGTACCTGAGTGGAGGGGAGTAATCGAGCTACCGTTGCTTCAGTGGTCTTTGTATCAATAAATTCATCCCTAAATGTTGCCTTGTATGATGTTGAACCAAGTGTTTCTGAAACACACTGGTCACTGGAAAACCATTGGCAAGCAGATGAAACCTCCTCGTAAGAGAAGATTCTAAGTCCATCACATTTCTTTGGAGGCAATGGGAGAGGGCCGGACATCTCCAATGGCCCACTTACGTTGCTGGCTTTGAAGCTACCAGAGTTCCTAAAAGAATGTCCTTCCGGTGAAGGAAGAGGAAGGGGCAAAGGATTTGAAAAGCGATGCCCCTTTGTCGAACCTTCCTTATCCCTGGAGTCGTCTTGATGGTATTCGGCATATGGAAATCCAAACTGATCGACCACAATAAGGGTTGATGGAGCAGACAACACGCGAGCTCTGCTGTTTGAAACTTTATTTGACGACTGGGATATCTTAGTCCTGTTCCTAAAACTAGGAGGAGCTGATTGCAAAGATGGCACATGAACTTCTGGCTCCGGAAGTCTAGACGATGTTCTTTCCCTTGCATCAACCGATTTCTTGCTTGGAACAAGAGGATTATCAAAAGGGGTTTTCTTCTTCTTGGATCTGAGAACAGTGAAGCAACCCATCATTGGCGCAGCTGGGAAAATTCCTGCGTAATTCAAAAAAAAAACGAAAAGTTATCACATATTGCAAAAATTAGACAGATCCGTGTTACGCTACGGTACTTAGTCAATATCAACACAAAACTTATGCGACGTATCAGGTATGGTATCTACTGAAGCTAAATCCTGAACAACAGACAATGCAAAATGCGTCAAGCTATTGCAGGTGAAAATTCCTAGCTGAATAATCACACTTCGAAATTGAGAACATCATCAGCAAAGTAGAGACAGGTGTGGACCCAGTAAAGGACACGGGTGTACACATGTACAACCGATGATTTTTGCAAAACAATCGAAGTTAAGTAGGGAAAATACATGTATATACACTTGTAACTAGATCAGATCCGAATACAAATAGCGTGTTAGGGTTTGGGTGCTCGGTTTCGCACATCAGGAAGGGAAGACCAAGGGGTGGGCGTACCTGGTGGTGCTCGTCGCCGGCGAAGGGCCCGAAATGGCCTGGGCACCTGGCTTAGGGCGGCAGCGACGGTCGCCCAGTCGTCGCCAAGAGAGACAGAGGGAGAGAGCGCACGCTGGGGGTTAATGGAAGAAGAACGGGCAGGAAGCCAGGAATGGGTTGCCGCATATATAGGCAGACCGGGGGTCCTTGTAGAGAGGGCGCCTGCAGGCTTGTGTTTAGGCACGGTTGTAATATTCTCTATACATAATAATAATAATAATAAGTCATGTAGCAAGATATGGAGGTAATGAGGGCAAGAAAAGTAAATGGAGTTAGAGAGGGCAAATAAAAGAAGAAGAAGAAGAAGAAGTCAGGTAGCAAGATATGGAGGTGATGAGGGCAAGAAAAGTAAATGGAGCTAGAGAGGGCAAATAAGAAGAGAAAAACGGCATGGTCAAAAGTAGAGCAACTATGAGACAGCTTTTTATATTTCACTCTATTAATGATGCTTTTCAAGTTCCTCTTCTAACCTAATCTTACAACTAAAACACCATTAGAGTTTGTGTCAAGTGACTAGGAATTAAGAAAAGAAAATGTACACTACCATCTGCCAAGTAGGGAGTGTAATTTCTAGGGTAATTCATTTCTCTCCGTTCTTGTCAAATACGATGGAGAAGGTCAATGGATGTTTATCTACATTGTTAGACATAAGCCTTGTCTTGATCCTTGCCACTGGATGCCAAGTCCTAGCATCCGCATGCCTACCGTGTGTCAAATTAAAACGGCACCATAGTTTAGCAAGGTTTCATGGAGAAAAATACGGAGGCAACGCGCGTAAATTCCTCGGCACGCCAAAACAACACAACATGTAGACATGTCTGTTGCGTGCTAGAACCATGGTGTCAGTGATGGTAACCAAAATGACTCATGATCTCCTACCGAATACTATTTTCCCTTTTGTGTAACCTAAGCCTTGTTTGGATTGGGGCAGGTTATAAGAATATCTTCCCATCCAAATATGTTAGAGTATACCGTAAATTATGAAAATCTGACACATAGATCTTGAAAATACCATATTCCAAAATAACCTAGATAATAGAGGATTTTGGATTCTCTAAATCCATGTACAATCCAAGCGATGTGTAGTATCTCACATACATGATACTACACTTTCCCTAAATTTTCTCATTGGGAAAAGTGGTGCTTCGTTGCTCATCGAAGAACAGTTGGCCTTGTAGTTGTCTTCTTTATTAGGGAGCGTAGTAGGTATTGATGTTCCTGTCTTCAATTTTATTTCCCTTCCTACTAAGATATCACTACCTCGGTGCCGTGAAGAGTGTCATTTTGGCTTCGAACGAAGGTGTTGACGAGTCAGCGCTAGCTCATCAATCACCTCTTCTCCGTTCTATAGGAGAAAAATAATAATACTCCCTCTTTCAAATAAGAATATTGATTGTTCCTGTCGCTTTATAATCTTACAACATCTTGTTCTTCTTCTTTAAGTGAATAATAATAATAAAGAAAAAATGTACTATATATTGACGTGGAATGAAGCACAGGAGATTACTTGGCCGTCTATGAAAAGGATCGCGTGCAGGCATCTCTTGTTGAAGTCATTGCTGCGCCGATATTCCTCTCTTGTTGAATTGAACGGAAGGATCCAAACCTGCTTGGAACGCACAACTGTCGTTTCTAGAAACTAATATGCATGGTGACCTGGATGGGCCTTAGGCTTAGCGGGCATAAAAATTGCTCTCAAAACGCTAGAACAGCATGAGATGTTGATCTTATCAATCTGTGTTCGAATGGCGCCAGTCCGACATTGACGTGAACTGGTTAAGAATTGCGCTTAGCATAGGTTTGACCAGCTGCCTTGAGGTTATTTGCAGTACTGGCGGTCTGCAGTGCAGCTAACTAAACAAGATTTTTTTGGCGCCTAATGATCTAACCGTACGATTTAAGCTAAACTAAACAAGATGGAGTACCAAATATTGAGAAGCTAGTTGTTCGCTGGTGTCTGCTACCAGAGTCCTTGCTCTGGTTTCCTTCGGTTCCTTGATTGCATCTTCTAACCATATGCCGGGTTAACGGGACCATGATCCCCTCTCTTGGATCTCCTCGTTCTCCAATCATCAGTCCTCCAACCCTTGAGGCTTCCTCCCCTCCAGGGCCGTAGGTGGAAGGCGATTGGATTCCAGATGAATTCCATAGAAGACGCGCATCACGACTGTCGTCTGTCATCTTGACTCAGTGTCTTACAGTCGTCCGTGGAATGGAGTTCTTTGGACTTCGGCCTGTTGGTGGTGCATTGTTCAGCGATCATCGACATGTCTCTCTCATGGGAGTTGTAGTTTAGTTGCTTCCCCTTTTGTTCGTGGGTGCTGGTTGTTTTCATTTGTATGTGGCGTGGTTGTTGTTCTCTTCCTCGCCTTCTTACTTTGTAACTCTAGGTTTTGATTCAACGCTGTAACTACCATCACCGCCTTTTACCGGAATACGTGGTAATGAAATTCAAGTGGGGATAGTTCATCCCCGGTGACCTTTTAAAAAAAATATTGACAAAACCTGAATGGAAATTGTAGGTCAGACTGACTCAGCCGCCAAATCTAGTGCAAATTTGAATTTCGGCTGACAGAGCTACGAAGGACAGAATAGTTTCAGTAGAAATTTCTACAAGGAAAATGTACTGGTTTTCAGAGTAGAATTTTCCACAAAGCGGCTCTGAGAACATAGTCCAAGTGAAGTGCATGCATGATCGATTTTTTTTTGGCACCTAACGATCTAACCAAACGAAACTAATAGAGATCTCACCCAAGTGGTTTAAGACTTTTTGTACTGTTGCTCTTTTTCCAAATATATTGATAAAAAAAACTAAATGGAAGTTGTAGGTCAGACTGACTCGGCCGCCAAATCTAGTGCAAATTTGAATTTCGCCTTTGACAGAGCTACTAAGGACATAATAGTTTCAGCAGAAATTTCTGCAAGAAAAAACGTTCTGGTTTTCAGAGTAGAATTTTCCACAAAGCGGTTCTGAGAACAAAGTCCAAGCGAAGCATGTGCATGATCGGCGAAACGTAGGAAAAGTATTATCCGAGGACCGGAATGCAAATGCGCAGCACATGCGGAAGGCCCCCTACTCTTAAATAAACCAGTCAAAGCGAGAGAGAGAGCATGGGCATTGAAGGGAATATCCTATTCGAAATGCCGTATACTACAGTTCTACTGCTACTGACATCTTATTAGAGTAAGTATAATAATTAGCTTATAACCAAACAAATACTGACGTGGAGAAAAAAAAGAGAGAAGATAGAGAAGAGATTAGCTCTTATGTAAGCATCAGACTAGTCACGAAAACATATATAGATGGTGAGCCATACCTTAAGTGAATGTGAGAAGGACTAGAAAAGAGAAGACGAGACATAAATATAATTAATAATAATAAAAAAATTATAGATAAATAAGAGATAAATATTATATAGCTGGGCTCTTACAATTGCTTTATTATTAAACTCGCCGTTACTCCTACTCCTACCCATGGTCAGGTCATAGATATGTCGAGGTGGCGGGGCCCACGCGGATGTTGACAGGCCAGTCAAAGACGGGAAAAAAAATTCAGACGAGGAGTTTCTAGTTTTCAAGGGCGTAGCTGGAGTCAAAGAAAGGGAAGGGGCGATTGGGACGAGGCGTTTTGACCGCATCACGGCCGTCCGGACGGCGACCTATGGTCGTGATCGGCCTAGCGCCGCGCCCCGCCGCGGCCCCCACCGTTTGGTCGGGAGTAAAGGTCGAGGAGGACCACGCGCGCGAGCGCGAGCATTGATGAGGCCACCTGCCTGGCGGGGCCGCGGCCGGGGGCGGCATGATTGGGCAATCATCCGCGACTTCCAGGCACCGCACGGATCTCGAGGTGTGGCGTGGCGACGAAGGAGCGCACGCACCGTGAGAGTCCGTGACGCATCTGGGTTGGGCGCGTCCAATCCAATTGGATGAATTCCCCCGAGGCTCAGACCAATGGCCAATGGGGGCTAGTACGCTGCAAGCATAGAACAGAGGCATCCATGATCCATGGAGGCCGTGCGATACCGCGATCGGTTACCTACTTGGATTGGATTACATAAAGATTACAAAAAAAAAACATAGGAATTCTCTGATGGGGTCCGTGCCATCTGTTTAAAGTACTAGTCTGTCCAAAAGGATACAGGGCTTGTTTGTTTCATTGAAAAATTTGATTTATCTGTTTGATATATTCATTAAATCTGATTTAAATGCTAATTACGCATTTGGTTTGTCAGATTTAACGTTTTGAGCCTAATTAGTCCATGTTTAAACACTAATTGCCAAATAAAAACGAATACAATTCTCCAAGGAACTAAACACGCGAAAACCAATTTCAAAAATGCAACAGAGCCACAATTCTAAGATGAACCAATTCAAAAATCCAGCTGAATCTATAGAGAATAAAAATAAGAACTGCTATAAATATTTTCTGTAATCAATCTACTAATATATTATTAGGTGTGGTAAATGTTACTATTTTTATTTAAAAGCTTGATCAAATTTAAATTAT